GCCTCCTCTGGCCTAGAGATTTCTGGAAGCAGGAGTCTGCTAGCAGGACCTCCAGGCTTCTTAGCTTGATGTGTCTGTAGAGTAGGCAGGGTGATCCCACCCAGCCCAGTGCTACAGGGCCAGTGGAGTATGCTCAGGGGAACCCTACATTAAGATCCAGTGGCACCCGTGAGGGGGTTCTGAACATAATGGAGGTGCTACCATGTCAACAGAGATCTCTAAGAGAGGGATCAAAGAGGGATCAAGCAGTAACGAGAGACCAGAGACCCCTGCCCACCATTGACAAGCAGTTGGCCACATGAAAAGAGAGCTGGGCTCCCATCCCTCCTCCAGACCTCCAACACCAGGGGGCGCTGGCACCCACGGGACAGGAGAAGGAACATGCTCCTACTCTAGAATATTCAGGGAGAATGGGAATCTTGCTATGAAGATTTAGGTTTTAAGTTGGGCTACACTAAATTTTAATAACTAAAATGAATTGAATCATGGAATTTGACCAAGACATCATTAATGAAACCACTTACCCAGCATGAAGGGGAATTTGATATAGTACAGCTGGAAACAGTGATTGGAAAAAAAATAAACCATGTCATATTTACATCCCAGCTAATCAAGAACTCTTCAATGATCTGGTGCCAATAACTAGAAGATTTTTTGTTAGGAATTAAAGATTTGGCAGAGAAAATGGAAGATTCTTTTGTATATCTTTGGCTATAATAATCATTTTCTCAATTTTTTTTCTTTAATGATTAAGTTCCTAGAAATCCTGAAGGGAATGCAATGTGTTGGCTTAAGACTTTTTAAAATAAGCTTTCCCGTGACATTGATTCCATGTTAACAAAGGAAGTGAGGCTGGACTGGAGGTAGAGAAGTAGGCTGTTGTGATCAGGCACCCAGAAGAGCGAGTGGACGTGGGATTTGGGGCGACAGGTCAGAGGGGAGTGATGCAGCCACCCAGAAGCTCGCGGTCATTGGGTAGTTTCTATGAGAAACTGTGTGGCAAAATACTTTAGCAGTCACAGTGAAGGATAACAGGAGTGGATGGAGTTGGAAACAGACCTTAAGGAAGATTGTAATGACTTGGAAAGAGAAGACTCTGTACTGTCCAGAAAGGGAAGGTGGCCAGAGCCATGGAGGGGATGGCATTGTTGGAAATGATGACAGCATCATTTATGTAATACTTTCCGTACTTATTATTTTATTTTCACTCTCAGCATCATTTCACTCACAGCATCTCTTCTTCCTCTTTTCCTTCTCTTCCCCCTCCTCCTCCTTTTTCTTCAGCACTAGCATTTACTGAGCACTTACTATGTGCCACACACCATTCTACACAAAACAATTTATATGATCAAATGATCCCTGCCACCCAGAGATCCTAGACCAGGGACCAACCAGTCAGACTGTGAGGGACAGGTGATAAAATCTTAGTTCTGGTCAGGTTGAGGTGTTGATTGGAAATTTATTTGAAATGGTTCTTTTAGAAGTAAACCAAAAACAAAGCTCTGAGAGACAGGAGAGAGAGAGAGAGAGAGAGAGAGGGAGAGAGAGAGAGAGAGAGAGAGAGATGATTTACTTAAGAAATGTTTGTCTAGTTCTTACTAGGTACTAGGTACCATTTCAAATGCTTTATAAACATTAATTCATTTAATTGTCATAGCAACCCAATATGGTAGGTACTATTATTATCATGCTCATTTTATAGGAACTGAGGTGCAGGTAGTTTAAATAACTTGCTCAAGGCTATATAGCCAGTAAGTGGCAGAGCTGCAATTTACGCCCAGATCTCAGATTCAGGTTCTATGCTCTTAATGCTCCCTAAGCTGCCAGGCACGTTCCTCGCAGGAGCATCATATAGAAGAAAAGATGGGTTGTAGAGAAACACTAGAGTCTCAATCATAAGTCTATGAATCTTAAATGTTACAGTAAGCAAGATGATCTGTATTCACATTGCTTTCATCGGAGGAATTTAGGATACTTCATCCATTTCAAAAGTTTTGAATAAAAGATGCTGCACACATTTATTTCTGAGTATGGATACAATACACTGTCATCAAACTAATTTTTGCTGCATAATCTGTTTCTGAACAGAATGAATCAATATCCTGGACTTATTTACAATTTATGCGATGAATATTTAAACACCACTGTGTATTTCTGGTCATGTCATTTTCAAGGATATTGGTTCTATCCAACTTTTTCCCAGAAATCTGAGGCTTGTAGATCCATCTTCACCAGTTTGCACTATGAACAGTGCCTCTTCAGAGTGGTATCCCAGAGAACAACTGCCACATAGGTTAACAGAAATCCAATTCCTTTCCCCCTCCTCTCCCCTTTCTAGTATTTTCATCCATAATACGTGCTCCCTGGGTTCCAGCCATGACCACACAGCTACGTCTTGTGTGTGTCCCGAACTCACCTGCCCCGTTGCCTTTGCTTACACTCTTTCCACAGCCTGGAATACTCTCTCCCCATCACTGTCTGTTGCCCAGATGTTATCTCCTTTATTCTAAAATAGTGCCTCTTTCTTCTTTTGTACCATTAAATGTTGTTTCTCTCACAAAATCATACTCAGTACTGGGACTAGAACAATTTGGCATCTGTATCTTGGGCTTCTCTGCCTAGGTATACCTTGCATATATCAGGTGTTCAATAAAATGTTTATTGAATCAAATTCTGCTTCCCTTCTCTGCGCCCTTCTCTGACTGCCTCCCGCACCCTGTACAGAATGCACCACCTGGCACATAGCAGGCCTCCTGTGCATATGTCCCGGGGAGCTTTAGGGCCAGCAAATTCCACGGACAATCTCCATAGGTCAAGGGAAGTTAAGCTTTTCCTTTCAGTTAAGTCCAACATCAGAGGGAAGGGTATGAAGTTGAGCAAACAAATTGGCTAACAGTTAAGAGTGAGCAGGGGGAGTGGATGCCAATTCTCCTACAGGAAGATCTGTGGCATAGAAAAGGTAGTTTTAAATGTTCTTAGTTCCTGTTGGGTGGGCAGGAAGTGGATACTTCCCAAAATGCCAACTGAAAATCAGTGGTGATACCCAGATGATTTTAGGAGACACATATGTGAACTTTTTTTCAAATTACATATTCTCACTTATATTCAAAATAAATATAATTAGCACATCAAACTTATGATTTCATAGATATTGTTTAACAAATGCTTTTGAATTTGGATAAAAATGATTTAAAGAAAAACATTACATAAATAATGGTGTAGGATGTAGCCGAATGATGTGATGTGGTGCATCACATAACCAAGTGCCGGAAGCACCAGGACAGGGAAAACACCCCTGGGGGTGGCGCGATGCAGATAAGATGAAGTGGTACCTGTTCCGTGGGTCAGATGCACTGGTATTCACAGCCTCAGGCATTCACAGAATTATTTCCAAAGCTGTGTTACCCTGCAAAACCTTTGTTTGAAAGGCAGAATGCAAACAGGAATGTTTTCTCATCACTCTTGTTTCTTCATTGGAATGAAGAAACATGCTGGTGAATGTCAACACAAACGCATCAAGCTCCACAGCCTTGGGCACCAGGTTTCCTAATGGCCTTGGGGTTTTACACCTTTTTTTCAGGACTGGCAGATACAAAGTACCCAAATGCGAATTTGCTTTTCCTTTTTCTTCCTGCAGAGCAGGACACTTTACAAAAAGAAAAGCACTTCAAAGGCAGTCCTTTCCTCGCATACATTTCAGGGCTGCATTCAAGACCCACATTCATCTTCCTTATCCAATTACAGGATCAAAGCAGAAGGGTTTGGCCTACTTTGGGGGTTTAAAGACATTGAGGGGAAAACTAAGAACAGTTAAAATTACCTTTTCTATGCCACACATCTTCTTGTAGGAGAATTGGAATCCACTCCCCCTGCTCACTCTTAACTAGTCTCTGGATACAAAAGTCAGGTCAGAGAGTTAACATGCTCTAATCACCGGCACCATAAAAGATGCAGTTATGTCTCTGTAAAATCCAGTCTAGTCTCAGTCAGTGTGTCTTGTGTACTTTTTGCTCTCTACGCAGCTAGGCCTTTCTAAAATCCACTGCCAAACTCTTGATTTTTCCTGATTAGTTTTAAAAATTTGTATTAACATAAAAACAGCCCCCCCAAAAATCTGAAATGTTACTTCATTAGTCTCCCTAAAGCTACTGGTTCTAGCACATCTGTTCGTTTTAATGCCACCATACAGAGTTCATATTTCCTAAAATACGACACGCCTTGTCCTTCATATTAACACTGTGGGATTGGAGGCCTTGGTTAAAAAAGAAAAATAGTAAATATCACATCCTCAAAGATATTTAAGTGAACAGACTGCCTGTTGGTGGATTGATTTTTCTCTATGGAAATAAATCTGTTGGCAGCCACCAGAACTGGGGTATAAAGGACGACCTCGGGCAGCTGCTGCCGTTTGTTTCAGTGGGAAAACGAGGGTTTTGTCTCTCCCCAGGGGTTAATACTGTGATGTTCTGAACACCATCGGTGATCTGTTTCTGAAGGGTTACACTAGAGAGGAGGAATGCTTTGTGTTTTATGACAAGATCACGGCAGAATATTTTGTGCACGCTGTGATTTGTATCACCCATTTGTGCACAGGCCATAAAAGTGCACTTTTTATCAGGAACATTTGTGAATACATAACAGCACTGAAGACATATGGCCACTAAATAATTCACAGTTATCTATCTTCTCAGCAGATTCTGTATACACCTACCATGTTTTAATGCCTAGTTTGCTCAGAAACAATATTCTTTACAACACTTCCAATATAAAAATGTTTACTGACTGGCAGCAATATATGGATCCCACGGGATGGGGGCATAAGGAAGGGGAAGCTTTCTGCATTCGCCACCTCTCCCTCTCTTCATCTGCCTCCCCACCCCCGCTTCCAACCAGCACCCAACCTTACAGGAAAAGGTGCCTCCCCCAAAAGTGGGTGCAAAATCCTATCTGGGCTATAAGATGAAAGTCACTAACTAACCTTTTCTCTCTTTTCTTTTCAGTTCTATATCCATTTACAGTCCCAAGGAGAATCCAAATACATTTGATGCTGCAGCATTCTTCCAGTCCGTGGGGAATTTCCTGGGGATCTTTGCTGGCTCATTTGCAATGGGATCTGCGTATGCAGTTATCACAGCACTGATATCCTTTGTGTGTGGAAAGCTGAGGACCATTAAGAGAAGTCAATGTCCATGGAATGTTTCTAAGGATGGGCAAGCCTCAGAGCAGTAAAGGCTAGATAGTCTGTGGCTCAAGCTTCATACGGCACCACTGAGGCCATCTTGGTCCTGAGTCATCCCTGGAGGCATGGGTTGGTACCAGTGGCAGAGGAGGCCAGGCTCTTGTCCAAGGTCAGTTCTAGCACTATTGACACTGTCTGACCCTAGATATCAACAGCCTTAAAGAAATGCCACCTAGGAAAAGTAGTGGACAGAGGGCTTCAGGATTGGCCTAACCAGGGTCAAGAGAAAGAAACGAAGACCCAGTGTCAAGAATAAGACAGGATTGACTGGGGGTGATACACTGGATATGCCCTGACTCCTTCTTCAGCTTATTCAATTACTAGCTCATAGGGTAGGCCAAGCCAGAGATCACTATGGATTTAATCAAGCTTCCCAGCTCTTTATAGAAGGGAACCTGCAAGCAATGCAGAAATCACGTTTGCCATATCTGGGCAATTGCATCATTTGATTCCTTCTCTCTTTTTTTGTTAGGGAGTTTAGTTCCTAGAGGATCTGAGTCAGGGAAAGAAGCTGGTCTGGTGGGCTGTTCACTCAGAACTGTCAGATGGGGCAAAAGTCAGAGTTGAGAAGGAAAGACAGAGGGCCAAAGTCAAGTGTGAGTGCTCAGCGGAGCCACAGGGAAGAGGTAGAGTGAAAGATCAAGGGCCAAAGACCTCAGGGGAATGAGAAGGAAGGAGTGTGCCAGAGGACTCAGGGCCCCAGGCAAAGAAAGGGCAAAATGCTGGGGCCTTTTCCCCTGGGGGCTGCCCAGACATTCACTCAGCAGCTGCTGAAGGGCTCGATTCTACTGTTGAAGAAGAGTCAGAAGATGAGTAAAACAGGGTCCCTGCCCTCAGTGAGTGACAAGCTTGGAAAGATAACTCTACATTACAAGTTGGATAGAAAATGAGTGCGAAAGCCACATCCACGTTATCACAACTACAAAAGTTCAAATAGGGATAAGGCCATTGTGTCTGGAACAGTCCCACAGACTCTTGGCCAACCTATGATTCTGGAAAATAATTTAAAAAGCAGTGTTTATATGCAGCGTGGGCCTTGGGCTTGGCCTGGAAGACAGGCTGTATGGTAGGTGATTCAGGAGGGGAAGACAAGTGTTCATTACTGTGTGGAGGTGGGACTGACCTGGCACCCGGCAGATGTGCCTGAGAGGACCAGAGGGCTCTAGCTGGTGAGAAATGGAGGATGAGGAGACACAGGTGGGAGGGAGTCAGCTTGTGGAGTATCTTGAGATGGTATGTGAAAGAGTCTGAGCCTCCTTCTGTGGTCCACAGTTAGCTGCTGAAGGGTCTGCTGAGGAGAGTGACACACTGACAGTCCTGTTTTCAAAACATGATGAGGAACTGGCACACAGGACAAATCAGAGGAGGGGAATAGACTCAAAGGAACACGGTGAACTGCAGAGGAAGCATCAGGGAGGAGATTGATGTTTAGGAAGAACAATCTCTAGGACTTAATGATTGGTTGTTGTTAGAGATAAAGAGGAGGAGAGAGTCAAAGGCTACTGCAAAGTTTCATCCTGAAACCTCATAGAAGGGACCTTCATTGACAGAAATAAGGTAAGTCAGATTTCCAGCAACAGCAAAATGATCTACCCAGTACTTATCACATGTCAGGCCCCAAGACTTGTCTTACACTGCAGTACCTCATCTAACCTTCACAGTGATCCCATCGCCAGACAATATTTTTATTGGCCACTGAAGCTTAGAAAGGGTGAGCCGTTGCTCAGGGCCATGCAGCCAGTAAGTAAACCCAGAGAAAGAATCAGGAGAGAGACCATGCTCGTAATCACTACTCCTATTGCCTCTTAATTAGTCGGTGGAATTGTGACAGAGGTCACGTGTTGTTTACACTAGAGTAATAGTAGTGATGACAGGAACATTTAGTGAGCTCTCACATGTGCCAAGGCCTTTATATGCATCTCCTCATTTGAATCGAACAACCTGTAAAACAGGTTGTTATCCTCACTTTGCACATGAGGAAAGTGAGGCTCAGTGAGGTTAAGCAGCTCACCCTGGGTCACATGTCAGTAACAATGAACATGATCATGTCACCTAACATTTATTGAAAACTTTGCACCATCCATTGCCTGAAGCATTTTGCTTGGATTATCTCAGACAACTTTTACAAGAACACTGGAAGGTAGATACTGTTATTATCCCAATTTTATAGCTTAAGAAACTCAGGCAATCAAGGTTGAGTAACTTGGCTGAGGCCCTCCGACAAGGCTATTTCAGGGCCAGGATTCAAACCCAGGCTTTTCAGCTCCAGAGCCTGCACTAGGTGGAGAAGCTGAAATCAGAATTCTTCTCTGCCTCATGTGAGAGGAAGGTGTGGTCACATAGCTAAACCAGTTGATAAGGGAAGGAAAAGACCTTCAGGAGACTGGAAGTCTGGCATGAGATTGGATCAGATCTGGAAGAAAGAATGTTGAGATAAACGAGAGGGAGGCTCAGCAACAGTGACGCCATCAACCCTGCAGCACTCGGCCTTTAACAGGCTCTGCAAACACAGGCTGTGCAGGAGACAGGCGCATTCTGTTGTCTCCTCTACCTTAACTCCATACCTCATCCATTCTGAGGCTAAGTCTCCGTAGATCATAGGTCCCTGGGCTCTGGACTTGGAGGTTGACCCAGAACTGAACTGCTTTTTGGAGGAGATTGAAAGAAAGAATGCTCTATAGCTAGTCGATATTCTGTTCTGGCCTGAACATTCTCCTTAAAACAAACTGGAAGAGGGAAACCTGAAGAACAAACCCCACTAAAACAAAGCCTTCCGTCCAAGTGACAAAAGGGAATATTGAAAACGGCTCAAGGGCAGCTCATTTTTTATTCCACATAAAAAATTGCTTCCAGATTCTTACAATTCTATCTCTAACAAAGATGTTTTATTTTAAAAAACATTTAGCTGGGCATGGTGACATGAGCCTGTAGTCCCAACTATTCGGGAGACTGAGGCAGGAGGACGCCCTGAGCCTAGGAGTTTGAGGCCAACCTGGGCAACATGGTGATGCCCCATCTCTAAAAAAAAATTAATTTAAATCACAGTAATATAAAAGTTACATATCACTTGTACATACCAGGCACTGTTCTGAGTATTTAACCTATATACCACTGAAAAAGGTTGCATTTTTATTCCCATTTTCAGAGAGGAAAACCAAGGCAAAGGGTGGTCAAGAGATGGGTCCGAGTGAATACTATGAATTTGAACGCAGGTAAAGCCAGCTTCCAGAGGCCACACCTCCAGCCTGATGTTATTCTGCCTTTGTGCTTTCTAAGATTTTACAAAATGTTTTTTAACATATTTCACTTCATTGTACACTCCACACTGTGGGAGCAAGTATTTCTCATTGTCAATTCATATAGGATAGAAATTAGGCTCAGAGAGGTTAATATACTGCTCAGAAATCACACAGCCAGTGACTGGCAGAGTCAAGAATAAGAACAGACACAGAGGTCATGCTTTTACTTCCCTGCCCCACTGCTAAACATCTCTTATTTTGGAATCTTCTTTCGATTTTGTTCTAAAAACATAAACATGCAACATGATCACATCTCCTTATTTGCCAGGGCAAATTTTGCCTATTGTGGACACAATTGCAATGGAACTAACCCTTTCCCATTGATCACATATTCCTAATGATCTCCCCGTAATCCATTTTCTGCCCAACTTGAATCACTATCTGTTTGTTCTATTTGCAATTTATAGACTATTGACTAAGGGTCATCCTTGTCAAAATAAACCATTGCCTGCCAAAGGGCATCTTGTCTGACCTAGAAATAATACACCTTCTCCTCCATTTTACTTACACCAAGAGGCACGGGCAGCCTCCCTGTCACTGAATACCACTGCTTCTCCTGACCCTATTTCCAGCCCCAGGAGAGGACACTCCACCAGACGGTCTGCCCACAGACTGCTCTCCCCACGGAGCAGCACCTCCCCCCCTCCTCCCCTGCTCCTGTGCTGACTGACCTGGAGCATCTTATCCCCACCACATCTCCTTGGCTTTGTTTCCCCCATACCTGCTACCGCTCTCCTGAGGGGCACACTGCAGGGGCCGAGGCCAAATTCAAGAAGTTTTGTGCCCACAGATGGCTGATTTTACGTTCTTAGGAAGACACCTTTTTTATCCAAACACAGGTTTGAATGTTTACAGGCATGTTTAATCCCCAGGGAAGCATGGAAGTCATGCTGGCCTTCAAAGTAACTCCCAATGAGAGTCAGAGTCTTCCAGTCAGGTCTGAAAATCAGTTCTTTTACTCAAAAACTATCATTACCAGATCATTTTTTTTTTTCTCAGCCAAGAAAGAAATGCAGCTGTGAAGCCAGTTGTTTCCCTTAACGTGTCTTCCTCACCTGACCAAATTTACCAAGCTGTGCGAATTCCCAATGCTGGAAACAGGCCTGTTCTTCCTGCTTTCTTGGAGTGCCTTCCTGTCTGCCGAGGCCGCCGGCCTAACAGGTCAGTGCTCCCTGCCGCGCAGCCAGGCGGGTGTGTGCCCCTGCCTGACCTCGCAGCAGGTGAAATGAAGTCTGTCTTAAATGGCGGACGTGAATGATTTGTGTCAGAATCAGCCTCTCCTGGGTAGCCTGAGGAGAAGAAATAATAATTCAGCCATTTCGTGCAAAATAACTTAATGGAACGTCTCCCAGACGCTTTCCTCTTCTCTCCCGGCTGGACAGGAGTGTGCTGGAAAGCTGATGCCTAGTGGTGATGGATGACTTTACAGATGGAAGTCTTCGCTCAGAGCGTGAAAGGACGCGCACGCGCAACCGCTTTGTGGAGAAGGACGTGGCTCTCCTTTGGTTGTAAACAGCAGGTTCCAATGCAAGCAGCCTCTCCAGGGTGTGCGCAGCTCCACACACGTCAGTGTTTAAGGTCTTTGCAGATGCTCCGTGGCGAGTAGGAAAACACGCAGCAAATGGGGTCGCGCTACAGTTTCATGTCTCTCACCACAGCAAGTCTATAGAGAGAGTCCTCTGAGGTGGACGGTTGGCAGAGAAAGGGCAGTCCCTAAAGTCCCAAGGGCCACGGATCCTGGGATCTGGATTTGGCAATGAGATTGCCTTTCTGCAACAGCAGGGTTTACACTTGGGTAGCTGCAATGAATGGGTGCTTTTCCGTGTAAAAGAATCACTGCAGCTCTGAGAAAAATGTCAAAGATATTTCTCTCCCTGGGCCTAGTTCCTTGCTTCTCTCAGGTTTCAATCCTGGATCCCTTTCTTCTCACTACATCTTAACTGACATTCAAGTGGTGAGAATCTCCCCTTACGTGTTAACTAGTAGCCAGGTATGCCTCCCAGGGTATTGGCATTTTAATAGGTGATGCTTTAAATCTAAGTAATAAATAAAAATAAAATTTGACATGTATTGAGGGTATACTATGAGCCAGGTGCTGGCTAGCTGCCTTTCACGGATGATCTCATTAATTTACAGAAACATTCAAAGTAAAAGACTATCCCCAGTTTATTCAACCAACAGTAAGTGGTGGAGCTGGGATTAAAAACTAGGAAGTCCAATTCCAAACCCTGGGCTCTGGGGCACCAAGCTTTTCTACCTTGAATGAAACTCCATCTGTGGAATATCAAGCAGACCTCAAGAGTAGGAAGGAAGATAGTTGGGGCCTCAGGAACCCATGTGGCCCACTTGCTCCTTAGCTGGTCTTGGCTCTCCTGTGAATGCCATGGCGAATCTTTTTAGTAATGATAACCTATTGCTCTAATCAGCTGGCTCAACTTACTGCAGAGCCACACAGGCCAAGCTGCCCCCACGAACCTTCAGGGTGTCTGCTGCTGATACAGAAAGCCACCCTGCCAGTTCTTGTGCCACTGTAATCAAGACTATCTTGCCAGATTTCACCCAACCAGGACCTCGTCTCCAAATCATTCCAACACAAAGTCTGTTGTTTTAGTGCATTGCCATGAGACTGAGGAGGTTGTTGAAGAGCTTATGCATTCCAGGAAAAAAAAAATAGCCATGTCCCTTAAATAAAATAACATAGGTAAACCATTTATACCATAGTCATTCAAAAAAATCTGGTTCCCCTTCCTTTACATTCTGTAGAGGAATTCGGCACATCACTTGTAAAATGATCTAAGTAATGTTAACAATAAGAATATTTGATCTTCCAGAAAGGTAAAGAAATATCTTAGCTCATCTAATATTTTTTAATCTTCTGTTAAGTGTTATAATAAATATATATACACACACATACCTGCCACTGCCTAGGAATTGTTCATTACTGTGTGTGAAAACTGTCTATTTCCTGGTCCATTTCAACAAGTCTTGTTCTATTAACTACTTTAAAGGTTATGGTCCATGGGAAACTGTATAAATTGCTAGTTTATCAGCACCTTGCTCTTTTACTACCCTTTTCAACCAAATATCCTTGGTGCGATGCCAGGCAGACCACCTTCCAAGGAGCCGGTATCATGGGATGAGTGAATATGGGTGTGGATCTCAGTAGCAGAAAGACTCAAGTGTCCGTGGCTGCACCCAGGGGCAGACTGACTCAAGACTAGTGTTCCAGATTTAGGCAATGTGCCTAACAGGCTTTCGAAATAAACCAAACTCTCGGTGTGAAAATTTTCTATCACCAAAGACCAAGCCTGCTTAGTCCAAGTTATTTATGTGTTTGTTTATTATTTAATCCTTGCCTATTTTCAAATTGGATTTGAGACAACTCATAACGTAAGCCATGCATACCATGGGGCCATTTAGTTGAGGGTAAACACTCGAGTGCTCTGGGATAGAGTTTTTCTGCAAAATTAGGCAGCTGTTCATTGCTGTGGTTTGGCAATAAATATAGCTCTGAGCTTTCTGGCAGTCAAAGCCAAAAGGGAAACCTGATGAATTGTATAGGAATAATACAGCATTATAAACGAAAATCATACTCATTTAGAAAAATGGGCAAACTTTTTTCTGCTACTAAAATGTTAGGGGACTTTATCACATGCATCCTTATATAAGGACCTTTGAAGACCAGAATGGACAAGGTATCTAATAATAATTTTAGGGAAGCTTGAGATCCATTCTTTATGTGGTCATTTATCATATCAACTTTCAATAAAATCTGAGGGTATAATATCAAATCATAATTCTCTATGGTCATTTCAATGTAATAATAAAATTCTTTTAGTTCTAATCCACACGTAAACCAATATAATGCAAAGCTAAAATCTAGAAAACTTTTTAGAAAAATGCATACTGGAAGAATATGCAACAATGAAAACAGTGAGCTAAAATGGAATGAACTATTAAATAGTTTATGAGTAACTATAGAGGTAACCAGCAATCATGGAGCCTTGTATGGGCTCTCTAACAGCACTTCATGTAGGTCCTAGAGATGGTGTTAACACGCAGTGATTTTGCAGCAGAATTCCCTGAGCCCTGACCCTTCAAACTGGGCCCCCAGGGACATCCACCGAGTGAGCAGGGCTCTAGCCCTGCCACCCCTATGTCCCCCCTTTTATTGGTTTCATGAATTGCATTGTCACATAAGATTTCATTTGAAAAAAGGATTTCTGCTACTTTAAACAAAGCACTTCTGCTTTTAAATATATTTTATTTTTTTTACATCCAAGGTGTAATATACATTCATTGTAGAAAATTTAGAAAATGTGGATTCACAGAAGGAAATAAAATTATAGTCACTTACATTCTTATTGCCT